AAAAAACAAAATGAAGGAATGGAACTGGAACTAATGGGGTGGGAGGACAGAACTTCCTGAAGACTTCCACTGTGAAAAAAGAACATGCCACTGTGGGGTACAGAGCGAGGAGTGGGAAAGGAATGGGATTGGAGCAAGTCTGGAGATTCTTGAAGACTTAGAGGCCAGAGAAATGGAACGAAGTGGGAAGAAAGGAGACTAGCTAGACATGGGCTGCTGCAGAACACTTCTAACTTCAAAAATGGAAAAGCAGGATTGAATTCATAATCAAATGAGCTGGGCTAGGGTGTAGCTCAGTGGTAGAGTTTTAATTTAATATGATTAATACCCTTGGTTCCACCCCAGCACTGAGGAAGGAAGGCAGGGAGGGAAGGAGGGAGGGAGGAAGGAGGGGGGAGGGAGGGAAGGAGGAGAGAGGGGAAGGACGGCCACAAAATCAAATGAGTTGACTGTAAAGGAAAAACAAAGGTTGGAAATACAAATGAATCTAAAAAATAGGAATGCAAGTTTACATCAATCTGGTTTAATAGTTACATGAAATTCCTATAAATTACCTAGCTGTAAATGGAAGTACATTGAGATATTCCTCAATTACAGCAAAGCAGTTGTGTATATGATGTTCTCAAAACACACACACACACACACACACACACACACACAAGACAAACAAGACACGATTTGGATTTGGCTGTGATTACAACACCAACAGAAGACTTCTCTATTCCCCAGGAAGAGGGCCTGAGGGAGGTCGGACTTTTTGAGGGAGGAATTTTCCTCAGCTCCTGTACTGGGCCTTCCTGATTGTTAGCCTTAAATGACAGATGAACTCTAACACATGGTGATAATTCATTCTAGATCAACATTGACAAGTGATCGCCTGATTCTGTCACCTCCTTGGGTAATGCAATTTACTACTAGCCTTTAGAGGCTTTGTCTTTTAGGGACCTATATTTCTTTTTCCAAGTTCCAGAGAGCTCTCCCTAAATTCTAGTATTGTGGAATTTAGTGACTTTCCCAGTTCAATCTGCTTGACTCGTGATTTTATAAGTCTGCATCTCCAGTTTTGCCAGACTGGGAATACTAAACAGTTTCACTCGGCACACAGGTGGTGACCCCTCAGTTCCTCTGAGCACCTTGTATTCACCAAATGCTACTGAATGGATGCTGACCACATGGTTTTTTAGAACAAAGCCTCTGGATAGTATTATCTGGTATGGGGATCCTTGAAAAGGTGGCCTCCGTTGGCAGCTGTTTTATCAACCACTGTCATCCTCACCACCAGAACAGCCTGGCATAGAGCAGCCACCCACATGCACTTGTGACATGTTTGTCTCTTGGTTTCAGCCATGCAAGATGAACATATATGCATGCCTATCCACATGCACATACAGACATACACATACGTGAAGAACAAAGTCAATACTGGAGTGTATTTTCCTCTAAGCACTCTCAGTCCATCTGGTGGGGGAGATTTTCTTTCATACCCATTCTTTTATCTCCATTATTATGAGCCTGCAATCTAACTGTAGCAACACCTCTTAATTGGGGCTATTACGCCTAAGATCTTAACCCTCCAGTGGGTTAAGATCCCACAGACACGTTCGTTCTCCTCCTGTCACTTTCCAGCTTTTTGGAGTTTGTTTAGTGTCTTGTAGCACACATTCATCTTTCTACAGTTCTGATTTCATCTGATCCTCCCCGTGCCTGACCTCCAGCTGTTCCTGCTGCTCCAAGGCCACCCTTTGTAACCTGGTGTTCGAGACCCATGACTGCACACTCTGATCTCGCTCCCCACTACTCTTCACAGCATCCCTCTGCTTTGGACAGCACTCTCTCTTCAGCATCTCCCAAACACCTTATATATTACCAACGTGAGTGTTTAGTACTCTTTTCCCTTTGTTTTAATTTCCCAAGTTCTACGCAACCCTCAGGGTCCTGCTGCAGAAGATGTTTTCCAGCCATTCAGTGACTTCCAACAGGGTGGCTTCAGGGAAACCCAATGACTCTAGCCCTGTGCCAGATGCTAAAATGTGAAAAGTTTGAGAACATTATCTGATCCCAGAGAATGTGCAACAGTTATTTAGATTCTTTGGGTCATAAATCGTAAAGGGGAGGCTGACACGCTGTCCACTGTAGTCTGTTGTGTCTTTTTTGTCTTATACTTGGTCTCTCTGAGTTGGAGATGTTATTTTGTTGTTTTTGCAGCCTCAAGTAACTTTTCCTTTCCTCTTTCTCTCTCTTAATTGAACAAGATTGCTTTTAAAAATGTCTCATTGCCTGAGTTAACGGCTTTCAAGGTTGGTGTAAATGAACTCAGGAGGTCTGGGATCCTCCTGACCACATCTGTCTGGTTGAATATGCACAGGGAGTGGCTGCTGAAAGGCCAGTGTCACACTGGCACAGTGTCACAAGAACAGAAGTTTTCATCATTCTTGCAGTGTAGTCATGTTACTTACATTTTATCATTCAGACGATACAAACGGCTTTTCCCCCCTTCCTGTTCTTCTCATGCTCTCTCTTAATTTTTTGGTGCTACAGGGGTTTGAACTCAGAGCCTCACACTTGCTAGGCAGGCACTCTACCTTTTGGGCCATGCCCTCCATCTTTTATTTGCTTTGGTTATTTTTGTGATCAAGTCTCACTTTTTGCCCAGCAGTCCTCCTATGTATGCCTCCTACATGGCTAGGATTACAGGCCTGTACCACACATTTGGCCCAGGCTGGCCTCAAATTTTGATCCTCCTAATCTCTACCTCCACCATACTTGGCCCATCTGTTTCTTATTTATTTGTTTGCTTGCTTGCTTGTTTGCTTTTTGAGGCAGGGTCTTGCTATGTGGCCCAGGTGGCCTAGATCTGGTAATCCTCCTTTCTCAGCCTCTTTAATTAAATATAAGGGAGTGTTGTGCTTAGGGTATTCTGCAAATGACAAAGCCCAAAACAACATTTCTTTTCTGCCCAAATCTTTAAACTCACACCCAGTGATATGGCGGACACAAAATGCAGTTAGCGCATGCTCTCAGGGGCAGCAACAATGGGCTCCACTTTCTCCTGTGGGACGGAGTGTGACAGCAACTCTGCCCATGCCTAAAGGCTTTGAAGACAAAGACCCTACAGACTGTGGTCAGGAGGACGTTCTGCAGCGCCCTCTAGAGGGCAAGGGAAGGAGAATCTGACCTGCTGAGTGGTTTGCACCTGAGGATACCAAATCCGGGGAAAAGAGAAAGAAAAGCAGAGGAACAGAGGGAGAAGTGCCTGTGCATACTGGCACTACGCGGTATGCAATACCGCAATGCTCCATCACACCAACTGATTTTGTACCTATGAAAAAAAATTATATCATATATAGAGAAATAGATTGGAAAGTGCTGTTTCAACTTTCTATACGTTGTATAATAATTTCAAATGATGCAAATATCTCAATATCAGAATGGTTGAGAATTTGAGATATATCCTTATTATGGAATATTATGCAGCTATTAAAAAGACTAAAATAAGTCTATAAAAGTTGACACATGAGATTTTTACTACGTATTGCTGAATGAGGAAAGAGAACTGCTTTGACTATCCCATTTTTAAAAGGTACTGAACACATTAGTGTCAACAACATTAACTAACCAAATGGACTGGAAAGAGAAGCAGGGAGGAAGAGGGTAAAAACCAAAACTGACTGTTAAAAATAACAGGTTCCACAATAAAAAGCATGAATTATATGTATGTGTGTGTGTGTGTATACACATATATAATTTTATTTGATACATATAATTACAATATTGAACATGTATCAGTGCATCTCAGGATAAAAATATTTGAGGAGTTTTTTTTTTTCTTGAGACAGGGTCTCACTGTGGCCCAAGCTGGACTTGAACTTGTGAGCCCCCTGCCCAGCCTCCAAGTACTGGGATTACAGGCATGTACCACCATACCTGCATCCTGGTGATTTTTATACTCTTCCTTATACTTTCCTACATTTTAACAGGAATTATAACCATTATATAATCAGAAATAACTATTTCTAATAAGGAAAAAAAATGAATGATTGAAAACGTTGGCAGCATGAAAATAATGTTTCTTAAAGTCTTCCTGGCCCAAACACAGCCTTGCTAGAAAACAGGAGGTTTTTACAATCTTCTTCAAATAGAGAAAGACCAAGATCCAAACTTAACAATTGTCATAAATATTTTAAGCATCTCGGAGACAGGGTGTAAATCTAAATTTTAACATGCTTTCCCAATGGCATAGAGCACTCTGAATGCTCAGTCAATCCTCATTAATGGACAAGCACATTTCAAGTCACATGAGTTATTACAATGACGATGCTATCATTTCATATACAAATGCTATTAAGAGCAAAATCTCATCTGAAAAAGAATATGAGAGCCAGAGCAGCTTCAGTGAAAATAATTTAACTATGAAATTTAATCTGTCACAAAAGCAGTAATGAAATTCTAACACGCAACAAGCTTTCTCTTCTTGGTCTGGTCATACTAAATACATCCAGTTTTATTAACCTGCACTCCTACAGTCCTGAGGCTGCATGTTGCCTACACGCCCTGCGACAGCTCTCCACTGGGTATCATTCACTTCTATTATTGTAGATGCACAGGTCGTAACTTCAGCTACCAATCATCAGAAACAATCTCCAGGTCAGACCTGGCTTCAAAACTCTAGGCTTGTCTGCTAAACCTCTGACTATAACAAGCATCTGTTTTCAAAGAGGTGCAGCTCATTCACTCCTTCAGACCTGCCTTCTTGGAGGGCCGGGACAAAAGATGTCCACCAGCTTTGTGGAAGTTTCTGTGAACAGCCACGGAACAGGCACACAGGTTCCGTACACACTGGGCGGAGGTACCAACCCCTTTCCCTGAGACCTGGGACCCTCCCTACGCCCCCCACCACCCAACTGCAGAGACTGCTCCTCTGCCTTCTTTTAAATTGTGACTGCTGTTAGATAATATGAAAACTGATTTTACATATTTAAACTTTTCAAGTAAATACTTACCTGGACTAACAAGTGGCCTGAATTAGGCAAACATGGGCCACATTTCGTGGTGTTCTCATTCATTTTCTTTATCAAATTCATCAATATTTCCACAGCACCTTTGCTGATCATTTCACTAAGAAATCTTGGATTTCCAGAAATGAATTTGATAGTCCCCATACAGTATAAAAAAGCTTCTGTGTTAGTTGATAGGTCTTCACTTCTCAGTACCTCCAGTAATGATTCTGCCGAGAAGATGAATTACCATAAATGTCTAAGTGTAACAGCTGGAGAGAAATATATTAAAGCACTTGTATATGAACTTCAAATACAATTTGCAAAATATATTCACCTAAAGCCACATGCAAATGTTTGTTAAGGGTTACTCAGGTAGAAATCTTACTTTTAGCTATGACAAATTGATGTAATAGCAATGATAGCAAAAGGATGGTGTTATTAATACACAAATAAGAAAGTATTCTTTTAACTAAATGTCACTCCTTGCCTCTTAGTAATCTATATCAGCCTTAGTTACAAAAATGTTGAGTTATTGGAGACTAGTAATCATCAGAAAAATTTTAAGAGTTAAATTTCATTAAATAAGAATATATTTGTTGCTGTACTAGTGGGAAATAAATCAAGATAAGAACTTTTTTAAAAATCCCAAATACAATAGAAAGGGATAAACTGAATGTAACATCTACCCTTTCCCAAGATGACCTAAGAACATCCACCCAAATGCCATACTACTAGGTTTTAGGTATAATCCAGGCGACTCTAAATAAGGTTATAATGCATGCCTCACATTTAAATTTATCAATGTCAGCCATCATTTGTCAGATTCTTTCTTTGTTTTTAGTCTACTGAATTAGCTGATTCAATGATACTCATTTCTTTCAGCACTGGTTTTGTCCCTGTCTGCTGAGATTTAAAAAAAAAAAGTTGAGACCATTTATTTTGTTACTGAAAGAGAATGGAAAGTCTTTTTAATATGCTGCTTTTTTTGCATCTGCAACACTAATTCATAAAAATGGTCCATTTAGGTAACTACTTAAGCATGTTAGTTATTTAGGGGTATGTCAGAATCACCCATTATTAGCCAGATAGTTAGAATGCAATAAAACTCCTCTGCCTTTACTTGGGAAACATTTTGATATCAGATTTCTATAAAATTACAGATGTCCTTTAATCTTTAGTCATTCCTTCTATATCAAAAGACAAGAACTTTTGATTGTATCCAAAACAATAAAATGTGGGGATTTTTTTCCTAATAGTAAAGCCATGTCTAGGAAATGAATTTTTTTTTTCTTTTATTATTCATATGTGCATACAAGGCTTGGTTCATTTCTCCCCCCTGCCCCCACCCCCTCCCCCCGCAATACCCAGCAGAAACTATTTTGCCCTTATCTCCAATTTTGTTGTAGAGAGAGTATAAGCAATAATAGGAAGGAACAAGGGTTTTTGCTGGTTGAGATAAGGATAGCTATACAGGGCATTGACTCACATTGATTTCCTGTGCGTGGGTGTTACCTTCTAGGTTAATTCTTTTTGATCTAACCTTTTCTCTAGTACCTGTTCCCCTTTTCCTATTGGCCTCAGTTGCTTTAAGGTATCTGCTTTAGTTTCTCTGCGATAAGGGCAACAAATGCTAGCTAGTTTTTTAGGTGTCTTACCTATCCTCACCCCTTCCTTGTGTGCTCTCGCTTTTATCATGTGCTCATAGTCCAATCCCCTTGTTGTGTTTGCCCTTGATCTAATGTCCACATATGAGGGAGAACATACGATTTTTGGTTTTTTGAGCCAGGCTAACCTCACTCAGAATGATGTTCTCCAATTCCATCCATTTACCAGCGAATGATAACATTTCGTTCTTCTTCATGGCTGCATAAAATTCCATTGTGTATAGATACCACATTTTCTTAATCCATTCATCAGTGCTGGGGCATCTTGGCTGTTTCCATAACTTGGCTATTGTGAATAGTGCCGCAATAAACATGGATGTGCAGGTGCCTCTGGAGTAACCTGTGTCACAGTCTTTTGGGTATATCCCCAAGAGTGGTATTGCTAGATCAAATGGTAGATCGATGTCCAGCTTTTTAAGTAGCCTCCAAATTTTTTTCCAGAGTGGTTGTACTAGTCTACATTCCCACCAACAGTGTAAGAGGGTTCCTTTTTCCCCC